AAACATTCAAATCAAAGCTCTTGGCTGACTTTTACATCTAAAAACGCTTTAAGTTGGTTACGTTCCAGAAACGTGGAATTGGATGCCCTTGTGGTGTGGCGAGGTGACACCTTCCAGAGTGACTTACATCAGTAACCACATAAGGGCCTTCGCAATTTGGTTCCAATTTTCCCATATTTGCTGCTCTGCTGGCTTTATTATTCCTTAGCACCCAATCACCAGGTTTGAAAGTGTTCACCTTGACTCTGGCATTGTAGTACCTGGCCATTTCATCTTTGTATCGAGCTTCTCTGATGCTAGCTCGGTCTCTTTTTTCATCCAATGCATCTAGATTGGTATTTAGTTCGTCCAGATTGCCTTGCTTCGTATATGCTATGACTCGTGGACTGGGCACCCTAATCTCAGCTGGAATCACAGCCTCTGAGCCATACACCAAACTATATGGTATTTCCTGAGTTGCACTTCTTGGGGTTATTCTGTAAAACCAAAGTACATGAGGCAACTCCTCTGGCCAGCTACCTTTAGCTTTGTCAAGACGAGTTTTGATTCCCTTTAATAAGGTTCGATTTGTGACCTCTACTTGGACATTTGCCTGTGGATGAGCTACATATGTGAAATTTTGCTCAATTTTCAGCTCTGACACCAGGACCAAAAAGGATCATTGGTGAACTATTTGCCATTGTCTGAGATGATGGTGTGAGGTATGTCAAAGTGACAAACAATATTCTTCCATATGAACTTAAGTACATTATTTCCGGAAATGGTCGGGAGTGTTTCAGCTTCGACCCATTTAGTAAAGTAGTCTATTGTCACCACAAAAAACTTCACTTTACCACCAGCTTTTGGCATAGGCCCAACTATATCAATACCCCATTGTGCGAAAGGCCAAGCTCCTTGGATCGGGATCATTTCACCTTGGGACAGTCTAGGCACAGAGGCATGCCATTGGCATTTTTCACAATGTAGTACCGATTCATGTGCATCATCAAACAAAGTTTTTCAATAATAGCCAGCTCTCAAAACCTTCTTTGCCAAAGTTCTAGCGCCAAAATGGTATCCACACGCTCCCAGGTTTATTTCTTCTAGAATGTACATAGCTTGTTTAGGTCCCACACACCTCAACAAAGGCGTCAGATAACCTCTTTTAAAGAGGATACCATTGTTCGAAGTGTACCGAGGAGCTTTGACTCGAATTCTTCGAGCTTCTTTTTTGTCTCCAGGAAGAGGTCAGGTACTCAAGAATGGGTGTTGTCCAATCAACTTCTTCTTCAATGGTCTGAATTTGGACATGTTCCGTGCTCCTTGTTGGCAAGACTTCCACTAAAACTTCCTTAGCAAGGTGGGAAAAAGTAGATGATGCTAGTTTACTTAAAGCATCTGCCTTCTTGTTTTGTGACCTGGGAATGTGTTTTACTTGGAGTGAGTCAAATGTCCGGGAAAGTTCTTTGACCTTTTGTAAATACTTGATTAGTTGTGGTTCCTGAGTTCCATAATCCCCATTCACTTGCTTCACAATGACTTGAGAATCGCTGTAGACCACTAGCTGTTGAACTTTTAGCTCTCTGGCTAATCCCAAACCTGCTATCAATGCCTCGTACTCAGCCTCATTATTTGTGGTTGGGAAGTCAAAACGGAGAGCATATGTCAACTCTACACTTGGGTTATCAGGGCTTTTCAACATCAGACCTGCTCCAGATCTTTCCTCATTTGCAGCTCCGTCAACATATAATTCCCAAAAATCTTTTTTGGGGGATCCTTGACTGGGGTTATCTTTCAAAGATCCATTTTCTTCAAAGGGCATTTCAACAATGAAGTCTGCCAAGGCTTGAGCTTTAACAGCTTGTCGAGGTTTGAAATCAATATCATGTTCACCCAATTCAATTGCCCATTTCATCATCCTTCCAGAAGCTTCTGGTTTTAACAACACACCTAAGTGGGAGGTCTGTGAGCACTTGGACTGGATGTGCTTGGAAGTACGATTGAATTCGTGCAGCATGTACTAAGGCCGAAATGACCTTTTCTGGATAAGAGTACCATTGCTCAGCACCTTCCAAGGCTTTAATTATAAAGTACACAGGATGTTGCACCTTTTCCTCTTCTTGCAACAATAAGGCACTTATTGCCTTTTCACTTGCGGCTAAGTAGAGATATAAAGTCTCCCATGTAATAGGCTTGGCCAAGGGTGGAAATTGTCCCAAGTATGCTTTGAGTTGATCAAATGCTTGTTGACAGATTTCAGTCCATTCAGAGTTTTTTGCACCTTTGAGAACATCAAAGAAAGGCAAGCTCCTCTCTGCACCTTTGGATAAAAAGCGACTTAATGCTGCCAAAGACCCCGTCAACTTTTGCACATCTTTTACACTTTTCGGTGATGCCATATCAATTATCGCGTGCACTCTTTCAGGATTTGCTTCAATTCCTCTTTTTGACACTAGATATCCCAGAAACTTTCTAAACCTACCCCAAAGATACATTTTTTAGGATTTAACCGAAGTTGTACTCTTCGGAGGGTGACTAAAGTTTCATGAAGATTTTGTGGCATTTCACATGCGGTGAGACTTTTAATCACCATGTCATCAACGTACACCTCCATATTCCGCCCCAATTGGCTTCTGAAGACTTGATTTACCATCCTCTGATAAGTTGCGCCAGCATTTTTTAGTCCGAATGGCATCCTTTGATATCCAAATACTCCTAATTCAGTGATGAATGCAGTCCTGTCAGCATTTTCTGGATCCATCCAGATCTGATGATAACCCTTGTATGCATCTAAAAAGATCAAAGCCTCATATCCAGCTATTCTTTCAACTTTTTGATCTATGATTGGCAAAGGATAACAATCTTTTGGACAATATTTGTTCAAATCTGTGTAATCAACGCACATGCGAGATCCTCCTCTAGGTTTCCCCACTACCACTGGATTAGACAACCAAGTAGGGTACTGTACTTCCTTGACTATTGTAGCCCTCAATGAGTCTGATACCTCTGCATTGATAAATTGGATGCGTTCAGCGCCAAACTTGCGTCTCCTTTGCTGGACTGGTTTAACCCTTGAATCTGTGTTTAGCTTATGCATAGTTAATTCTGGACATAATCCAGGCATGTCTTCTGGTCCCCATGCAATAACTTCATTATATTCCTGGAGTAACTGGATCAATTCAGCTTTTACTTCAGAGGACAACATTTTGCCAACCTTGACCTTGCGATCTAGATTTTCATTATCTATCGCAATCTCTTCTACCTCATCATATATTTCAAAATGATCAGAAGATCGAACTGCTTTGTCGAGAGGCTTTGTTGCAGTGATGCAATTAACTTCCTTTATTTTGCTCATGCCTAGCTTGAAAACAATCATCATGCATTTCCGAGCCTCCATTTGGTTTCCTTTGACTGAAGCAATTCCATTATCAGTTGGAAATTTCATTAACAAATGATAGGGAGACCATATCGGATTCATCAGATTCATCCAAGGTTTTCCCAAGATGACATTAAAGGGTGAGGGAGTATCAACAATGGTGAAGTTGCACATCACAGTTTTGTCCGAAGGTGATTGCCCTACTGTAACAACTAAGGATATGATACCCACTGGTACAATAATATGATTTGAAAAACCAACTAATGGAGTCTGAGTTGGTTTGAGAGCTTCAAAATAAATCCCCAATTTATGAAAGCAATCTATGTACATTACTTCTGCTGCACTTCCAGCATCAACATAGATGCGGTGGACTTCTTTGTTGGCAATAATTCCTTGAATTACTAAGGCATCTGATTGAGGGAACATATGAGGAATGGCATCATGCTCTGTAAATGTAATTCTTTCTCATGGTTTAAAACGTCTCATTTTTTGCTCCTGCGGCGGTGCACGTCGAGCTTTTCCTTTCATGGCTGCTCTTGATCGAGATCCTTGAACTCCAACAAATATTGTATGAATGACTCCTGTCACTACACGGTTCTCCTACTGTCCAACTCCAACATTTTGAGTTCTTTCATCATTTCGACTCTGGTCTTTCCAATTTGGTGAGGGCCGCCAATTAGAGGTCCTGTTCCCCTTATAAAAGCCTTTGTCATTCCTAGCTCCGCCAATTTGAACGTATTGCCTTAACTTTCCTTGTTGAATTGAACTTTCAATTTCTCTTTTTAGTTCATTGCAGTTTTCAATTTCATGACCATGGTCATTGTGATATGCGCACCATAAATGTTTGGGTCGGCGGTGTGCAGGACTGATCATAGGTGGAGGTGGCTTAAAAGCTTCTTTGTGTATAGCCAAAATCTCAGTTCAGGATTTATTCAAAGGAGTCCATCGAGCATTTCTTTCATCACTTTTGCCTTTTAAGACTTTTCCAGGCTTCAACATCGCCTTTGACTTATGCTCATCTGTGTATCTTTTGTCTTTCTCATCTTCCTATTTCTTTTGAGCCGACTCCTTGCCTTTGGTCCATCTCTCTACACTTTTCATCAAGTTCTGGACTATTGTTGGTGGGTGGCGAGCCAATTTGGTGTAGAGAGCTCCAGTATGCAAGCCATTTATGAAAGCAGATATGATCAAATCCTCATTTGTAGTTTCTAGCTACTTGCAAACTTTCATTATTGAATCGCACTGCATAGGCTTGGAGCGTTTCATCTCTTCCTTGCTTTGTGTTCAGCAGCTCTTGAATGGTCTTGGTGAATTGCTTCCTTTGTTGAAATCTAGTCTCAAACAAAGTTGTCAATTGCTTAAAAGATCCAACACTATCTTCCGGTACTGACTTGGTCCACCAAAGACGAGCATTTCCTCGTAAATACGTTAGGAAAGCCTTGCACATAAGCTCTTTTGGGGCATTTTTCAACTCTATTTGGGTTCGAAAGATAGATACATGATCGCATGGATCTATATCCCCATCATAGAAGGGTAACCCAGAAGGCATCTTGAAATCAAGAGGGTAGGGAAAATCCCTGATTTTTGGAATGAAGATTGATTGTAGTTCATCTTCATCAGCATCGTCGCTGTCATCTTCTTCCAATCACAGTGGTGTTTCTTGCCCTTGTACTTGAGGATTTGTTCTTTTCCTTTTGCGAACTTGGTGCTGTTGATCAGCAGCCTTGTGCAAAGCTCGATCAGGATCGCCTTCATGGTTTGAAGCATTTTCCAAAGGTGCTTTCCCTTTAGCAACATACTTTCTGTACTGATTAAAGGTGCTGCGAGTAGCATTAACATATTGCATCATCTCTATCATGCTAACATCATTCCAAGTGTTATCTTCAGTTTCTTCATCAAAAGAATGTTCTTGGAGTTCAAACAAAAGTTCTTTATCTGCACGACGATTTGCCTCTGGACCTTTGATCAAAGGCGGATTATTCTCTAGGCCTTTTTCAGGAGGAGGGTTGTTTTCATTGATCGGCGGTGCTCTAGAGGTTTGAGACCTGGTAACCGTCGTTGCCATTGAGGGTTGTCAAAAGCTTAACCAAAAGATTCAAAGAAAAACTCAACAAATGAGCCTTTCCCACAGACGTCGCCACTTGATGGAGCAAGCTTCTAACGACTAGCAAAGGTGATTGAATAGCCTTGAGAAACCTTCGATCTTCAAACCTGCAAAGCCCCGGCTACCCGGGATAAACACTCTAATGCTTAAGTTAGTCCTCTATCATTGAATAATCTCATATTTATAGCGAAGAATAGATAACTAACCAGAGAGAAATAAGTATATAATCGTATCTCAACTTCTGGAGTAAATCAAGGAAACGCGCCCAAGATCAGAGGTGAAATCTGATCCCTAGTGACGCGGCTAAGGGGATATCTGATCCTTAGTAATCTTTAACCATCTCCGTTGGCTCGGGTAAATAGGTTATGCTAAATAGGCTGAATAAAATCACTTGGGCTTTTATTCATGTAAGCTTGGAAGACAATTATTCTAGACTTCATTATACCAGGCCCAAATACGATAGCCCAGGTTCATCAATAATCTTGCTCATAAGAAATACAAGAGAATTTTGTCCCTATTTATAGTGTAGAAGTGGCTGAATTTGTCACAAGGAAATAGGAGAAGAAATAGGATCTTTAACACGCTCACTGCTTCTATGAATTCGAAATCAAATCGAATTCCAAAGACTAACTATCTTAACTAGTAAGATAATGAACCTAGACACTTCCATAAACTTAAATATTTTAACTAGTAAAGAAAATAAAACTCAAGATACAAAGAGATATACTCAAAAGAGAACTTCTCCATGTTTGTGGATAGAATCAAATCAATAGGGAAGAATCTTTTTTGAGTGTGGACTCGATCAATATCAACTTTGTAGAATAATTTTAGCCATCCAAGATTGATGTAGTCTCTATCCAATGGTTGAGTAGTCATCAATGGGTAGATTCCTTACTGTGAACAAAATCAAACACAATTGAAATTAATCATATCAAGCCTTATCCGTCAAATGATTGTGACAAGATTTGAATGATCACATTTTTTAACAATAGAGATACTCTCGCAACTCCAAAAATGTAGGAGTGAGGACCGGCGGTCCTCTTTTGGATTTGAGGGCTGAAATCCTCTTCCAAATGGTCCAAGTCTATATCTTGGTAGCACTTGCAATATACTAATAATATTAGGCTTGTAATATTCAAGTTTGACACCTTCTTTAGCCCGTGCAGTTTTATGAGGCTATTAAGCATATTATGTGTCCTTTTTTTTTTATCTAGTACGAGTAATTAGGCCAACAATGTATGAGAGTGGATCACGTATATAAAGATTATTCAAAACAACATCATTTGATCCTCCATTAGTATTCACAACCTATACTAGCTCGTTCTCTCCATTGTTTGTTATAGAATGTTTCTCTTTATGTTTGTTAGCTCGATGGTCTCCATCACTTTAGGTTGCCTTTTTCACCTAAAATGTTACCTCCTCCGGTCTTAAGTATAAGGCATAAATCTATTATTATTATGCTGCAAGTGCTACCAAGAGAGAATGAAAACCATAGAGAGAATTGAAAGATGATTTATACGCCGCCACGGCCTCACGTGGGACAAAATTCTATGTTAAATCATTTTTTTCTTTCTTTTGAACCACAATTCTACTCTCTTTTTAAACGTTGCTATTGTTTCTCTGTGCTAATTTTTCCATTCTTTTCATTATCTATTGGATTTTAGGTATGAGAGACATAAGTGGTGATATTGTATGCTTGAAGGGAGCAATGCAAAAGTCAAAACTGCAATTGTTCATAATGTTTACAATTGATGATTCCAATTTTTTTTTTTTTGGGGGTTCATATTTGATGTGTGAGTTGAGTCAACAAGAGGCGAAAAGGACAAGAACAAAAAAATGAAAAAAGATGAATACTTTTGAATAGATGAAATTCATAACAAAAATGTATAATCTGAGGCAATACATGCAAAGCCACTAACAAGATCTTTGATACTATTATTCCAGTGACATTGCCAAAGGATGATGACGTAATGAATTGCAAATGAAATATTACTATATTTGTATAAATAGAGTTTGTCATATTAGGCAAATTTGTTAAAGATTTATTAGCGAACTAGATTCTGGTCCCCCGACTTATACGAGATCGGTTTAGATTTAAGATTTTTGTTTGATAATGTGAAATTATATTCATTCTTTCAATTATTCAAATTTTAAAGGTTTAAGTAAAATAAAATGGTCGTGATAAAATGAAATGATAATAAAAGGTTAGTGAGTCGAAATATCAAAACAGTTGCCAAATTTGTAAATCACGTGATTTGTTGGTCAAAAAATCATATTGTACGTGTAAAAGATTTGAGACCGATTAATAAATTTTTTGAAACACCACTCATTGCCAATTGGTTTTGAAACAAGAGCATAATTTGCTTTGACATGGTATTAGATTAAGTCAATAGTGTATAAGGCAACATACTGACTCAATAGTATTTATTTTTGAAATATCATGCTACATTCTACTCCAGGTTTTCAATCAGACTTGGTGGAAGTTCTTGAAGATGATTAAGAGTTAACTTTTACCATAATACAACTACAAAATGTGTAATCAAAAGGAGACTTACATATACATTGAACCAACTCTCAATAACCCGTGAATGATAATACCGATAAAGAAAGTGTAAAACAAAGTTTAGCCCAAACACACACACACACACACACATTGATCAATCTATGAAATCTTAAAATGGTTAAGTAGAGTTACAAATCTAATTTTCTACCATCACCATTAAGAAGAACAAATCAATGCGAATAGTTTACAAATATGATTTATAAAAACGTATCAATCCAGATCGAAGGAACCTAGTAGCTTCTTAAAATTGTACCAAACAAATTTTTACATTAATCAATCCACAAAATTCCGACAATGATTAATAGAAGTTACGGAACAAATCTCGTAACAGCTTTACCACAACGATCAACAAATCTATTTGAAAACAATCTACAATACGCAACTAAATAAGAAATCAATTTCTTAAATGGCAAAAAGGATTCACAATGACGTACTAATTTCTTGTGAATGCTGTATAAGAGTACCAAAAAATGGGTAGATGCTTCTGGAAGTGTGTTTGTCCTGAGCTGAATGGGTATTTTGAGGGAGGAGTGATCTTGAGAAGATGATCAATTAAATTAGATCATACCTCACGAAATCGTATCTTTATCAATTAATTATTTGATTTACATGATCGGACTAAAAGGTGCAAATGTATGTGATTTGATGTTTATAAATTAATAATTCGTTTTCTTAACCAATAGTTCACTATATTCCTTAATTAACGTATTTATTCTGATTTTGTAATTAGACCAGATTATATGGAACATAAGTAATTAGATATTTGATATAGCTATAAATACAGTTAAAATATATATATATATATGTATATATATCAATATATCCTATTAAAAGAGAAGTTCAAGAGGGAACAAATGCTGAGGTTTTGCATTGTGATTTAAAATTTTCCCTCCAAAATACATTAAATTAAAAATTCGTTGTTTTGATTAAAAAAAAACTTTAACTATATTCATAAAAAAAAAAGGTTCCTAATACAAATGTATATAAAAATCAGCTCATTTTGTTGTCAAAGAGAGACACTTTAATTATGTAGTCGGCTCTAATTCAACATTTTCTTAAAAAAAAAAAGAAAAGACGTGGTTTGTGGTAGAACTGTTGAAACTTCACGGGTAAAATTATAAAAAAAAAACCAAAAAAAATATTTTTTTTTTTTTTGTATTCAAACTCTGTAAATCCAACCTCATTAAAAAAAATTTAAAAATTCACGGCTAAAATTACGAGAAAACCCAAGTAATACACTATTCTTATATTCAAACTCAATCACTCTAATGTCAATTTCATTGAAAAAAAATGTTGAAATCTCCCAGATAAAATTATAAGAAAAATCCAAATATAACATTTTCTTATTTCAAACTCAAGCAAATTTAAATTATAAAAATATTAATACCACTTCATTTTCACCCTTCCTTTTTTAACTCTTTTTTTGTTGTTTGTTTATTCTTTGTATCACCCGTTTTTTAGATTATTATCAACCATTAATCGAATATCTGACTTTTTTTCTTCAGAAATAATTATCATTTTAACGATAAATTTTAACATATTTTGTGTAATGCAAGAGAAAGAGCCTAGTGATATTAAAGCAAAACCAAATTTTAGATCAAATCATACTTGACAACCCCTTAATATATCAAAAAATTATTTGGAGATGCAAATTACCTAAATCTTTCCAAAATGATAAAATTAAATTATGTATTAATACCAAAATACTATACACTAATTACACGCATCAACATTAAATGTATCCAACTAAATCATGTGTTAAACACGTTGGTAAAATAATAAGAATATTACTCTCTCTCTCTCTCTCTCTCTCTCTCTCTCTCTCTCTCTCTCTCTCTCTCTCTCTCTCTCTCTCTCTCTCTCTCTCTCTCTCTCTCTCTCTCTCTCTCTCTCTCTAAGTCGGTTATACAGGAAATGGAAAAATCAGAAGCTTTCATCATATAATTGAAGCGCTAACTGCCAATATATGGTGGAAAGTGAAAGATCAAAAAAGCACTTGGAGCAGTTTTTTACTAACTTTATCAAATGCCGCAAAGGAGAAAACTTCATGGGCTAGGGTTGCGAAAATTGAGCGAAAAGCAACCGTTCATACTAAGGTCATTGTACATTGGGAAGATAGATCATTCTGGTTCGATAATTGGTCTGATCATGGCATTCTTTGGGGTCAATACATTGGCCACCGAATCACACCATCTGAGATTTTTTTTGAAAATAAAGCACTATACTTGTTCGAAATACAGGAGGTACTCAGTCCCGTGACAAAGGTTTAACTGGAAAATCTTGATCTCAGATTTTCGAATGAAGCGGATCAGAATTCTCCGCAGGGAATTTTTTCAGTCAAGTCTGCTTATGAGGCTCTTCGTTGTAGTCAGAATGTAGATTCCATGCTGAGTAGTAT